GAAGGATCACCATGTTTGCTTTGGCATTTTCAATCCCCCCATAATATTGGGGMCTCCTGCCTCTTGGGATGCCTTCAGGGATACCTGGTTCCGATACACATGGTGCAAATCACATATTTTTAAGCTTTCTGTAGGAAAAGCAGAAGGTATCCCAAACTTATGAAAATGAAGAACACTGGGAGAGATGTATTGGCAYTGGTGTCATTTCCATCTTCCCGTTGGTTAAACTGGTAAAGATTATTTTTTTAAGAACAACTAATTCTGTAGGTAATTGGGAAAATCAGGTTTTAAACCCACRACAGTAATTTAAACAAATTCCCATAATCGATACAAAGTCTGAGAACTCTTAAAGGTTCCTTTCAACCCAAATTATTGTACGATTCTATGATTTGCTGTGGTCTTAAACACACACACACAAACATATATATATATGTATATATATATGTATATATATGTATGGAGGAATCCACCTCTGCCTCTGCTGGGCCTTTCCAGCAACTCTGTTGGCAGGAACTGTTTCGAGGATGTGTGAATCACTAAGGTGTTCCCAATTTCTGCAGGCTGTTTTACCAGGTGCCAGACAAGCTGCAAGGCTACAACCCCCAGCTGGAGGGACTCTGTCTTGCTCATGGCCCTCTGCCGGGCTCTGCACAAGCAGGGGCCTGATTCCGCAGACAGATGAAGGAGGGAAAGGCAGATGTTCTCCCGAAGGAAAAAAAGAAAGCATGAACGGAAGACACATCCTGTACCACGACTGCACATGCCCACGGAAAATGCTCCACTTTACTCTGCTGCAGAAGCTGCCTCTCCAGGACTTGTATTTCATTTGATTTTCCTATGACCAGAAAYAGCAAATAACCGATTGGGAATCAAAACCAATACCCACCCCTGAAACCCTCCCTTTGCATTTAACAGAAACCAGTTGTTTTTCTGCAGCATTTTTACGGTAATCTATTAAGCTATTTTCAGATTGCTCGAACCAAGAATAGCAGTGAATGTCAAGTCCTTCTGTGCATGGCCGTGCCCTTCATTTCTCTGTGACATACATCTCCAGGCAAGTATCAGGCCTCGAGAACTATATCAAATGTTCAGATCAGGAAATGTTATGTCCAAGAGGTAGATAATTTCCCCCCCTGCTGTTTCCAGAAATACACAATATTTTACAACCCAGCTCCTCTGCTTCTTCCCATCACATATGCCAGTCACTGCTGTTTTCCTTATTCTGTCTTTGTCCAGAGTTTTGACCTCTGATTGACTTTGAAGTTTACATATGAGGAAAAACAGTCAGGCAGCTGCTAAAACAAGAGCGGAGAGATCAAACGGTTCTGAAAGAATTAAAAACAAACAACTTTTATCTTTTTCTTTTGTGTTTACCAATACATTAACAGATCCAGATAGATGGAGAGATAAACAAATGCACATACATATATATTTAACCGGTAACATTGAAAAATTGTGTTAAAAGAATATTGTTTAGATTAGCACAACTGAACATTGTAGGATAAGGAAATTAGAAAAATTAGGAAATGCCAGATTAAGATTTCTATGCTAATTTCTTTCTGCCACTGGGTGTGATTATCCTGTGTTAATACAGAATGAGGCATGCATCCTGTGGGAAAGTCTAAAATATGCCTGTGTCATGGAAGGGTTTGTAAGAAAGCATATGCACATGGGGATTGGCAAAAAAAGATTGCCCAGAGGCTATTAAATTTGCCATTTTCTAATGCWTCAGGAACTGACACTGTAACTTAAGTGGCACTATTTTATGACTGGGGCATAGGGAATAGGATGTTCTAGCTTGTTTTCAMGAGAGAAAAAAGCTGGAGGAGGAAAGTCCCCTGTGACATGTACAGAGAGACACAGACTCTTGCCTTTTATTGAGTCATTGCAGACATTTAATAATCAGGATTGGAGTGTCAGGCATAAGTAGGGGTTATTTGGACCCTGGAGCTGGAAGACCACCTAGTAGAAATCAAGTTTTGTTTCCTCTACCGTACTAAACCTTCTTAAGCTTCATGTCCATTAAATTGAGTCCAGAAATTTAATTCTSCTCTTGCAGTACAATTTCTCCTGATGCTTCATCTCCTATTACTGTTTCAATGTCAACAAGAACTCGGGTCTTTAAAACAGTGATGTTGCCCAATTACTACACTGGCAGACTGCCTTGACCTTTCTTGGAGAAACCAACAAGAGAAAAGTRGTTTCTAACAGTTTCCATCTCAATGACTCTCACATAGAAATTCACAGAACACAGGAAAAATGTTGTCTCTGAGATGAATGACTTTGAATTTCAAAGGTCTGCCGAAGGTAATAAAGATGTTAAAGTTTACAAAAGATGTCAAATTTCACASATACCTAAAAAATATTTCTACCTAGTCTGTGCATTCTCCTGCCTCTTGATACTGCTTGTACATTTAAGATAATTTCCATAGTCAGTTAATTCAAAYCTGCTTTCTTCAATTCTTAAAAAGCAGGAAGTTACAGGATTAAAAACCTACCAAATCACAACTCTGTGTGTCAGTTTGCTTTTCTGCCATAGATTAGACATTGTCTCTTACATAGGATATAATACACTATAAAAGGGCCAGTATGGTTAAATGGAAATACATTCTCCTGTGGTTTTTGGTTTTTTTTTTTAAATGCTGAATCTCCCAGATTGTTAAGATAATTTTTGTAGAGCAAAGTAGCAGTATAAACAGAAGTAAAATTTTCTTTTCAGTATTAGCTTCAGAGCTGAAGCAGTTTGTGTAGYTATCTTTTCCATCTATCCCTTGGGCATAAAGGCAGTGAAAGAATTCCTAAAGAGGGGAAGGAAATTGCGTTGGTCAAGATCAAATTGCAAGCATGCATAATTTGATGTACTGATGACTGTCCACCAGATATCACAGCAGGAGACTTGCCAAGATGTTAATTGTCCCAGGGACTGGAGTTTGATTCTTAACAAACATCGGCTCGGTTTCATTGTGGAATGAAAGTTATGACAGCTGCAAAGACTGCTTGTCTTAGTTGCATGCACAATAGTAAGTAGCATTGAGAGAAATCCTGACTTTAAATGAAAATGTCCTCTGCTTGCAAYAGTAGTTATTGGTAGTGTTACTGGAGAGAGAGGAAGTGTAACTTCTTAGCTTCAGTATGTAGAATCGGTACAAAACTCCAGTCCTGACTTTGTAGCTTCCAGTCAACTCAGACTCCAGGAGAGCACATAATTTCATGCAGCACTTTCCAGTTTTGAAAATGATGGGTTGTATCTTACAGACAGTCCCACCGTGAAGTCCTTGTGTAAAACAGCTCMAAGTTGTGTTTCACAGTCTTTGCATGGAAGTCTGCAGGTTGCAAACCAGGCATATTGCAGGTTGCTAGATGTCATTTGTCACCTGTCATGTCTGGACATATGAGCCAACAAATGGACCAGCTACTTTGTTTACTGTTTTTTGAAGCAAAGAGGTCAGTCAACAGCCCATTAAAAAGACTTACGGTGAATAAAATATTCCTAAATACAGAAGACTCTCTTAATCTGACTTGTGTTAAGCAAGCCTGCTATTCATCACCCCAGTGCTGAGCAGTGTACATAATGAGAAGAAATACTTCTCCATTTAGGACAGAAAATTTTCTCACTTTGAAAGCTAGGATTTTATCCCAGATATTAAGAAAACTCTGACTGCACCAATTGTAGATCTGCTGCTTGTGCAGGGAGCCTTAGCCTCATACCAGTCAAGTAGTTGTTGTCCAGTTGGTGAATGATAAGGCCTTTCTCTCTGATATTTCCCCTTAACACCAGATGGAGAAGAATCATTCAAAACAAATGTTACACTGTCTGATTTGTTGTAGCTGTTACTGTGGAAATTGTACACATGGGCTTGGATACTGTCTTTGGCTGAAAAAGATTAAACTGCAGAGGGAATAACTGGAAGTAACAAAGCGCTATCACACGTATGCTGGATTACTGAAGCRTGTAGGTGATCAGCATTTCCCATGGGTACAGTAAAATAATGTCAAGTCCTTTTCTCCTAGACATAATTCTTGCAAACAAATATAAGGGCAAATAACAATAAATAATGTTGAGAATAAATAAAGATCTCAAGCCAGACGAATTACTGGGCTGTAGTGGCTGAAAGCTGAATTTTCATCAGGAGTACATCCAGATATCTAAAAATAGTTTGCATTTCAAAGCTCTGTACATCCCATATTGATGATGAGAAGTAACAGCCATATTGTGGCCTTTCCATCATTGCTACTGGAATAGCAATACTGGATACTTGTGTATCTGCAAGAGATGTTGTCCAGCAATCTCAGTTGATCAAACTGTTAAGCATTTTCTTCCAAAGCAAGAGAACTTGGGATCAGCCTGGAGCTCAAGCTGGAGTGATGAGTTGTGATGTGGGTAGAGCAGCTGTTGATCCTGTTTTTGTTTCAACTGCTGCTTGCAAGGAGTTATTTATCCTGCTACACTTCACAGGCTGCTCCAATTTGCCATAAGGCTTTTCTTTCTTTCTACAGCATTCAAAAGAGGCAGGTATGTAAACTGTCTTCTCTGACTACTCTGAATCACATTAGCCTGCTCTTTTTTGTAAGCACACCCCATAGTGATAACCAAGCTCAGTGTGGCTTTATTGGCAGGCAGCATTAGTGTGCCTGATCGTCCCCATGTGCACGTATATTCTGTGTTCAGCACCTCTTGGAGAGCTTATACCAGGGAACAGCTTTAACTCCAGCCCCAGGGCAGCTCTTGAGGCTCCYCTGCTGCAGGTGCAGGGAGGAAAAGCCCCCTTACCTGCCCTCTGGGGGAKGCACAGCCTGTGAGAAACCTATACAGCAGGGAGGCCATCCTCTAAGAAAAAAATCTACTTGGACAGTTTTGTTTCTAACTGCCAGGGAAAATACTGACATTTATCTGTGGCACTGGTGCCAAGTTACATTTAGGCTTGCTCATGCTCAGGAACTTTTTGGCTTGGAGAGAGAAAAAAAAGAAAGCAGCTAGGCCRCAAAGCTCTTCRCTRCCTTTCATTTTGTCCCTCTGRGCTGCTGCCTTTTTCCTTACTCCACAGCAATTCATGTGGGAAGGGAAAGAAGTGACTATGGGAGAAAAGCACAACAGAAAATGGAAGCAGGAACCTGCATATTGGGGCATGGTGACCAGTGAATCTACCAGGATCTGGCAATAATACCCAGGGCACCATAACCTACACTAACAGCTAGGAAAATTATGTGCTTCCAGGTTTGCTGGCCTGTTTGTGCTCTTCCTGGGAGATGCTGCTTGGTGTGAGCACTGCTGGGCACCTCAAAAGAGTTTCTCCATGCACTGAGTACTTGCCTCTGGGAGGTTAAGAATTTTGGTTTGCATAAACAGTTCATATTTTATTACTATAACTTACCCAATCATAAATTTAATTTCCAWTATTTCTTTTATTACTATAATGTGTTATGTATTTTATGTAAATATATTTGATTCTCTAACTCAAATTTGGATTGCTGGCTTTGCTTTCCCAGGAAGGAAGAACCCTTGTTTGAGGAGAGTGTGTATCCACCCTCTGAKGAATTGCCAAAGGCTTGAAACCCAGGTTTCTCCTACACTATACAAAGTGAGGAAAATGCCACTGATGATTATTAYCTTGAGCTGAACTGAGGATGAGCAACAAAATCTGAGGTGAAAAGGGATGAATATGTTTGCTCTCCCATCCTGGTCTCCTCTTTGCTCTCTCTTCCAGAAGATGTTGGCCTGGGTCAGTTTCTGTTTTTCTGAAAGGAGCTTGCCCTGGGACACTGGGATAGCTGAGAACAACTGCTGAGCAAAGACATTCCACACTTCAGTTTGAGCAAAATACTGTTTACCCCATTCTCACTCATTTGCCTCTCCCATTTCCCTGTTTCTTACTGGAGGCAATGGCTGCCTGAGGCATGGGAGTAACAGCAGATCCCTCAGCTGCAACAGCTGTCAGACCAGGAAGGGCACACCAAACCCCACAGAGTGTACCCAGAATCCTTGGAAGTCTRCTCTTTGCTGCAAAATCCTGTTACCCTGCCCAAAGCCCCTTACACCTAGGGAGAGGCCGCTGCATGGTCTGTCATTCTTCATACAAATACCCCACACTGACTAGGGCACTCTGGCATTTACTTCCAGGTGCCACTGCACAGCATGCTTATGCAGAGCTAGAGATTATCCTCTTCTTACCACCACCCTGACACTGCTTTGAGACACAGAGGATCCCTATGGATATCTGAAGAGGGAGGTCTCTAATTGTGRTTTCTGCTCCCAGATGTGCTGGTGCCAGCAGAAGTGTCCCTCATTCATGGGAAAGCACAAAAGAAAGAAGCTCAGCAGCTAGACCTGTAGATGCCTGAGCTCAGAAAATCTCAGGGGCTCAACTGCTGGCACTTAGACTTGGCTTTGAGTGTCTGTCCCTCTCCCACCTGCCCACAGTTCTTTTCAGCCTTGCCTGTCTTCTTTGCAAGAGACAACGGGAGGCTTGGGCCAACAAGTTCTGCTTACACTTAGTGGCATGGATTGAGTGCTGGTTCGTCAGGACTGGTTTCTGCATATCTGTAAGGTTACTTATTCATCATAGACACCACCACCCATGGTGAAAACCCAGGTTCTCACAGTGGACCATAAGGGAAACTACAGCCTGCCACTGCCCAGGCCAGATATGTCAGTGGGATGGCAACAAGAGCAGGAAAGCTCAGGAGGGGGAGCCCAGCTAAGCAGCCCTGGGCATGGCATATGTGTGAAGGYAACTCTGACCTGCATTCACAAACCATCCTGGCTTCCCATATTTGTGTTTTTTGAATCCTCCCACTTTTAAGTCTAACACATAAGATTTGCTGAACCTGTCTATGCCAGCTACATGGTGTTCAGACAGTGGATCCAACCCATGTATCAGCAAATGGGCTGTGCACTGGCAGCTGCTGTTTGGGCCTGCCTTTCCAATTGGGAGCCAGATGCTTTTGTCTGTGCACTTGTGCGTTAACATGGCATTGGAGCCAGTGTACTGAGGGTTGTTTCTACTGCGTGAAGAACAGTAGAACCACKTCTACTGGATGGAACCACTTCTCCCTTGAGTTGGTTGCAAGAATGTTTTCTCAGATGGAGCCGAAGCCAAACATGAGAAAGCAGTTCCTTTGTTTGTCCTTACCAGCTCCTACCACACACAGCTCAGCTAAAGAGGCTCTTAWTTTCAATTTAGAAATGTCCCCTCACACACACATTCCCTGGTTTCCTCCCAGACCATAGGATCAAATAATCTTTTGTGCCTTTGTTTCACAGTTTCTTCCATCTCTTCTGYTTTTCTTTCAGATATTTCCAACACACACTGAAAGTTGTGTTGTCACAACTTCTCACATGTGTCTTGTATGTATGGTCCACTACAGGCATTGACTTGCTCCCGTGTTTGGGATAGAGATTGCTGTTGTTTGTGTGGCCTAGCTATATGGAGATCCCCTATGGAACTACCTTAAATAAGGGATGACAGTTAGTCAAATATAGAGCCATGTAAATTTTTAAAAAGGCAAGTTATTTGAAAACTGGGAGAACAAGAGGCTGGAAAGCAGCACCGTGGAAAGGGACCTGGAGGTCCTGGTCAATGTCAAGCTGAACATGAGTCAGCAGTGCCTTGGCCAACTGTGTCCTGGGGGGCATCRGGCACAGCATCACCAGCCCAGCAAGGGAGGAGACTGTCCCAGCTCTGCGCTGGGGCAGACTCACTTCGAGTGCTGTGTGCAGTTTTGGGTGCCATGCAAGGAGTGGCTGAGGTTACTCGGTTTGTTTAGCCTGGAGAAGAGGAGACTGAGGAGAGACCTCATCACAGTTCTTCAACATCCTCATGAGGGGAAGTGGAGGGGSAAGTACCAATCTCYTCTCTGGTGATCAGTGACAGGACTCAAAAGAATGTCATGAAGCTATATCAAGGGAGTTTTAGAATGGATATTGGGAAAAGGTTCTTTACCCAGCAGGTGGTTGGGTACTGGAACAGGTTCCTCAGGGAWGTGGTCACAGCATCAAGACTGCCAGAGATTAAGAAGATTTGAACAACACTCTAAGGCACATGGTCTTGGCCTTGCCCTGTGCAGAACAAGGAGCTGGACCCAATGATCCTTGCAAGTCCCTTCCAACTCAGCATATTCTATGATTCTATGATTCTATGATTCTATGATTCTATGATTCTATGATTCTATGATTATCAATGTTCACTCACAACTGTCCCAGACTGCTCACCCAAAGTTAAAAGAAACTTTTTGCTTTGATCCCCATGTTTTGTTTCACTTAGAAGGATGATAATCCTTCACTTCACTAGAATAGAAAGATAAAGAAACATATGTGAATCTCCCAGACATTGTAATAGTGAGAAGCATAGAAAAGCCTAGSAAGAAGCTGATAGTTTTTCCTCTGATAATGGGATTTGGGTCAGGCAAATATTTGATGCAGAAAAACTCAGTTCTACCATTACTTTTTTCTTTCTTTTCCTGCCAAATATTTAGCCTATTTCCTGATATTGTGAGACCTGGGGGAATGGTTATGGTAGAAGGAATCATGCCACCTCTATCCCATTACAGCAGAAGAGATCCCCTATTCACTAGGGAGAATCTACTGTGGGAATCTCCAGTCAGTYTAAGTTCACACTCTGCATGCATAAGCAGAACAAAATTGGCAGGCTGAACAGTCTGTCCCTTAGGAATTTTGACAGATGAAGATAAACTCAATTACCTTGCTTTTTCATTCCAGTTGGGTTACTTGTGCTGTGTAACTAAGTACATCAGCATCTGGAGTAACGCTAAACAACAGGAGAAAACATTTTCTGTGTTGAAACTAGAATTTTGTACAGCATTTRTAACTTGCAAAAAGTCAGGAGGCTGGCTATACTTTGTTTCCCACCATCYTGAAAAAAAMCAAACAAACCAAAACCAAGGTAGAAGGGTCACCATTGCCAAAGGYTGGGGTTTCTTCTTTTGGTATAGCTAAAAGGCTGATAGCCACTTTGCCTGTGAACCTTCACAACTGAAAGATTTAGAACCAGCTCCTGAATTTTCCTTACCATTCTCTCACCACCAGCATCTTTGCTATCCATCAATCTGCCTCATTGCTGAAAGCTGAAAACACAAAAGTAAACATTAATTAATGAGGTTTGCACCCAGGAGTGGTAAACAAAACTGCTCYCCATGTATGCGAGCTCTCGAAGGGAAACTGCTGTAGGAAAACAAATCTCAGCACAGTAAGAACAGGTCTGCCTGGGGTGTGTGTGTGTGGAGAATGGGAAGAATATTTTCATTTTTCTGACTTCATRATTAGGGAATGATGAGGTACAAAATCTTTCCTAAATGTCTTTGCATGTCTTTCCTAAATGTGTCCCTCCAGTTCGAAAATACATATTTGCCTTATCTTTGTTTTCCTTGTAGCTAGAAGCAGAAGTCGATGCTAATCTGATTCCTTACTCCTCTGTAGTTTGGGACATTTCAAATCCATAGTTTTTGTTCTGAGATTTTGTCTCAAATGGAGACAATTGCGACTTTGTCTTGGACTGAGAGAATCAAGACTTTGTCTAAAATGCAATAATATGGTGCACACTAAACAAAACAAGTCTTTGTGTACCATTGTTATCAAAACATTGTAGCAGCAGGAAATAGCTAGACATGGACTTTCCTTTGCTAGTGAACTGCTACTATAGATCTGTTAAAGTTCAACTCATTATACTTTTAAATCCTATTACAGTAGCTGAGTGCTTTGACAAAGAAAGAAACAGCCTGTTAGACRGTTCTTTGCAAAATAGTAATGCATATATTAAATCAGTATGTTCTCACCTTACCGTGTCCTTCATTCAGTCCACACTTCTCTGAACGTGACTTTCACTCCTGCGCCCAGGCGTGACCTCCTCCAGCCTGCCCAGCGGAGCATCACCAGGAGCAGGCAGGAACCGCCCTGGCATGGCAATCTGGCCCCCCTGCGAGCTGCACGTCAGGGACAGGTCCACCCCTTCGGCATCGGYCACCAGAGCCCAGCTCAATCCCAGTCTTTCAGGAGCTGCTGTGAGTTGTTGGTCGGCAGAAACGCCACATGGTTTAAAGCCTGTGGCAGAGTCTTCTCTCAGTGCTCTACCCTCCGCAGGGCTATGATCTGAAACAAATGCAAGCTCTATAAAAGCAGATCTCCCTAGCCATACATTCAGGGATGGATTTTCTTCTCTTCTTCTGCTGCTCAAATCAGGGAGAGGATTAACTCCTCTGAAGATMATAGAGCCAAACCAYCACAAGCCAGAGGAGAATCAGACTRTAGCWCTAAGTAAGAAACACCTATTCCTATTACTTCCTAGACTTTTTTTGTTGCAAATATATAAATCTTTGTATTAGCTGACTTCAAAGATCATAAAGCCCTAATTGTATCTGCAGATTACTAACGCAGTGTGCTGCTGATGCATAAAACACGCATTTGATAGTGCACAAATACACTCAGGCTGGGCTTAAATTTAGCTTCAACCACACAAAAGAGATCTTTATAACTAAGAATGATGGGAAGAAAGATCTCATTCCAGACCAGAAGAACAACTCATTTTTTCACTGATCCTGGATTTGGCTGACCTGACTTAAATGTGACCTAAGACATTTCTTAGTGCTTTGGAAATTGCATCAACATACTTGGGTTGGAGATGCCACAGTTAGGGAAAAAAATGGAGATTCTATTTTTAAAATTCTGCTGTTCCTTTTTAAAATAGATCAGTGAAGCATAACTTTTCATATAGCTGTAATTTTTCAGGCTAAGCAAACTCCAGTAATTTCAAAAGCAGTGGGAACAAGGGGTCACTTGGGGCCAGCCAGGAAAAAAAATTAACTCTTTGCTCTTTTCCAGTACAAGTTTTTGTCATGTTATTATTGTTGAAAAGACKCTGTTAATAACTGAAAAGGTAAGCTTTTCCTTGCAAGAAACACAAACTGAAAAAAATGTAGCACCAGTGATTTCAGAGAACATTAATGAGGAAAGAGAAACAATAAAGGGAGTTCAGCTGTGCATTTTCCCAGTACCTATCACTAGAGCAGGACTAGATTTTGCTAAATGACATCTGTCACTAGACAGCTGCTGTCATCAAGATACTGCCAGGAGCTACAAACACCTTTCAGCAGCAGGAGGCTATCAGCCATGGAGTGATCAGTGTACAAGCTTTTCATGGCATTGCCTTCAGTGGTGAGAGCCTTTCCCTACTAATACTGCCAAAAGCCTTCAGTTTAAAGGGGAACAAAACCATGTTACAGCAGCATGACCCGACTCTCTTGAAAACTTAACATGTTTTGTGATCCTTGTTTTGTGACTGTTTTGTATCAGACAGGTGACTTTCATGAGCTAGTGTGTTAGGTGATTTTTAGATGCTACATTTTATACAAATAACTAAAACACTGAAAAGCCCAAGCACAGGTAGATAGGCTGTCCTTGTCATTAAGGCGTGCTTAGCAAAAAGATGGATTTCTCCAGGCGGAATTCACACCCTTGAGCATTGGCCATCTCACAGATAAAATCCTCTGGCGTAAAACTCCATACTTATTTAACCTGCCCATTGCAGCTCAAGTTTGCTGATTTCAATCGGAGCTCCACTCACATTGATATAAAACTTATTTGCCATCCCCCTGACAAGTCATAGGGCAGATGATTCTTTTCCCCCACTATTTTTCAAGTATGGGAATGGGGTTAAAAAACCTTTTGGTTTTCCAAGTGGCTTCCAAGAGGGTAATGATAGTTTGGCCCCAGAAAGGCTTGGCCTGTGTAGTTTGAGAACCAAACTGGGGAAGCTAGAATAGATGTTCAGGCTTTGAAAACACCAGCTATCTTCTGTTTGTTTGTATCTACATTAACATTGGGGTAAACAGCTCTGAGCAGAAGAAAATGCAATTTGTTTAAGTATTTCAGCCAAAGGATAGCAATTATAACAATAAGGCACTCCTTTCCCTACCTTCAAAGCATTTGCTAGTGTCAACAACTAGGACCTGGGATCAGTCCCCAGGCTTAAATGTCTTCTAACTGAGCCGGCTTGACACTTAAGAGATCTACTGTTATGCATTAGACATTATGAAAGGTTACTAACACTTTCTAGTTAGAGCTTTTTTTGTCCCATTGACTATGGAATAGTCACACTGCAATGATGTCCCACTGCAATGATGTTGTAGACTCCTCCTTGAGAAATGAGCGGCTTCATGCTTCAACTGCAGAGTGCGATGTGTGGAAAGACAGGACAATGAAACTTTAGTTACAAGGTATCCACGCAATTCAGTAACACCCTCTGAAACATTCACAGCTCATTACTTATCAGGAATTGTGTTGCCTTATTAAATCACATTAAAAATGTTTAATGGTACTTTAATTTACACAGCTCTGAGCATGCATTGTTTCTAGGTCAAAAAAACCCCCAAAACYCAAAACCAGATGTAAGGATTTTAAGTGAAAAAAACTTGGTGATCTGGAAGTGTAAAACAGGAAGGAACACCCTATAGCTACAACTTACAGTAACTCAGTCAAATACAAATTTCTTTAATGAAAAATAAATTCCAGCTTATAAAGAAATTTCCTAAAATTTATTTATAAACAAAGATTGAAAAGTGTAATAAAAAGGGTAATTATTCTTTTTGTGTCTGTAACCGAAGAAGTTCTCCTCCTAAAACAGAAGAGAGGAAAAAAAGCTTCATCATTTTTCTTTTACTTTTCAAGTTTTCTATGTTTTCATTTTTGCATTTTGTTTTTTAAAAAGCTGCTTAAATATTATGCCATAATTACATTTGTGAATGGCCCAAATTGGTGGATCAAGTGGCTCAATGCAGACTGTTGTTTTCAAAGACAGCAGATGGATCCTACATGAAACACTTCCGTGAAAATCTAGTCACCTCAGGCAATAGCTATTTTGAATTTTATAACCTAAATAGTGCCAGACCACCAGTCAGATGAGAAATATGCAAAGAAAAAAACTGAAGATATTTTAAGGAGCTGTAGTGTGGGGACACATGAATCCGGCTTTAGGACTTCCAGTACCAGATCAGAAGTTGGCAGTCACATACTGTAAAACATTTTGGAAAAAGAAAGTTATGCTTTTAGCTGAATTCTGTTTGAAACAATCTCAACTCTGTACAGGTGGCACTTGGGCTTGTACTGATACTGTCAGAACAAATGTCATTGGCCAGTCCTTAGCCTCTTGCCATTTTTTCATCTCCAGGTTGTTGTTGCCAGTCATGGTGCCCTTTGAGATTCAAGTCAGAATCTAATAATCTCTAATCTCTGTATTGCAGCCATTTCCATAACTTGCCTCAGATATCTTGCATGTTCTTTTGACCTCTTCTTTTGCACCCACCCTTTGCCTCTATCCTCATGTGCTGAAGAAGGTGAAGAAGYTCAAGATGATCACAGGGACAGATACAGGTTTCTATCCATAAAGAGGCACACTACAAGTCACATGCACCATTTCTACTTCCCTAGCCCTGTCTGCCAAAATCCAGCCTGGTCCCAGGTTGTCAGCACACAACTTGATAAAGCTTATAATGCCATTTCTATGTGGATATCACAGGGTAAACACCAAAGAGAATTGGAGCAGTGCAGGGACAGAGCTTTGAAGTGTGACTACAAGAATTCTAGCAACGGGAAGAKATTACTTCATGCAGTAAGGTGCTGCTGCTTCCAGAGGTGACCAGTTTATCCAAAGAAAGTGGGTACAGTGGAAACTTGAGGACAGATTTTGAGCTGAAACTTGGAGCCAAAATGCTCCAAAAAAAAAAAAAAAATTATTCAAGGGTTGTAATTGGACCGTCCTAGGGGATGCAGCCAAAGAGTAGATGGGTAAGTAGGCAGTACCTTCTCTGTCCTTGGGTGTTGTTTACAGAAGAATGTCAAAATAGAAAAAAAAAAAAAAACCAAACCCTGCCTCTAGCACAAGTAAGGAACCTTTTTGAGAGCTCTCTTCTGCTTGCATATTTTTGTTGGTTTGTTTGCTTTATTTCTTTTGTGGGGTTCTCTGGTTTTCTGGGCACGTGTCCAGGGGTTGTGTGCTTTGCCAAGCAGCAGTTTTGCATTCTCAGGCAGGCAACATCCTGGTTCCACCCTATCCTGAATGGGGTGTGCTCACACACCCTCATCTACCGTCAAGAACACTTTATTTCAGACAGATGTCTGGTGAAGAGAAGTTAGATTAACCTGCAATTCTCCCATGAACTGGCCTTATTTTGTGCACTGGACCTATAAATAGGAGCTGTAGCTTGACAGTCAGGTTCACAATGTCTCCTCAGGCATCATTTTCTGCTGCTGCATTGTGACCGAGGTTGACTTGAGTGACAAGGGACTTGAACTGATTAGAAATTACATGGATCATTGTCACATTCTCCAGCAGGGYAGAGATTTCTCTTGTGGACCATCGCCCACAGACATTTACTGTCCCTGGCTGACCCAGACAGGGAAGGAAAAATCCAGAGATGCAAGGTCTAAACCAAAAGGAAAGTGGTTACTTACATGTGTAGTAGAGGAGAAAATAAAAGCTGCTGAAATTTTACAATACTACCCCGGAACAGGGATGTATAAATCAAGGGAAAGATGATAAATCTRCAGATGTAAAAGCCACGGAGTAGGAGAAGGCAGCTGGGCGACAAGCGGAGGGCTCAGCCCAGCAAACACGCACCCCGTCCCCAGAAAGGGGACCCCGTCACGCACCCCGTCCCCAGCGCAGAGCACTGTTTCCGGGCAGTCATGGACAGCTTCAAGCAGAGCAGAGAGCAACCAGCASGTTCAGGGGAAGGAAACTCGGTTGGGTGTGTGCCCGTCAGCCCCCGCTGAGGCCCGGGCACTGAGCGCCAGGCGGCCCCGGCTCCCCGCTCTCTCCGGGCCGCTGGGCGGCACTGCGGCAGCGCGGGCCCGGCCCCGCGGCCTCAGGGGGCTTGCTTGCGAGGCAATGACGCCTGTGGGAAGCTGTGAAAATCATATATAAAAACTCAAAAAAAAAAAAAAAAAAGTGCTAAAAAAATTGGTTTAGGCGCAGAGGGAAGGTTCCGTGGGAGGATGACGTCCGTGGCGCTACTTGCGTAGGGCAGCGAACCCCGGTGGCCCCGACCCTTTTTCCGCCGCCCAGGGTCTTTTTTTCCCCGAAACTCCGCTGGAAACACGTTCTGATGTGTCYCCCACACGGAGGCAGTGGCGATACTGGAAGCTACGTCGGGATTTCCACGGGAAGGACAGAGTGACAGGCGGCACGCTGCCAGGAGAGAAGGCTGCCATGTAGCACCACAGAAGGACAAGGACGCCGCACAGATGAAGAGAAGCATAAATACAGATAATAAACATTTCGGAAGAAGGCTTCTCTAAAATGATAGTAACAAAGGGATTTTAATAATGTGTCAGTTACTCTATGGGGACGGTATAAGTGGCA